AGAGTGAAAAGCCCCCCTGAAATGGAACTAGCCTCATGCGGCTTTTATCTTACTTTGTGCAACACGTATACGCATGCTCTTCCCCAGTGCACCCCAAGGAGCTCACGGACGGACGGCAGTCTGAGAGGGACCGTCGCGGCGGTGCCAAGGTGAGAGGGGCCACCACAGCTCCCTACTCCGTCTCGCGTGTGATCGCGAAGCGCAGCACACACGTGACAAAGTCGCGCGCTGCGATGCCGTTCGTGCTTCCTGCCGAGTCGAGATGGTGCCACTCGTGGATCTCGTAGAGCGAGACGACGAGGAGCGCCGCCCGTGCGCGGGCCGCCGCGGGGAAGAGCGAGTGGCTTGCCGGCGACCACGGCGCCGCCGCCCGCCGGACCAGCGCCGCCGCCTCGCCCTCGCCGCCCGCGGCGCGCTGCAGCGGCGTCGGCTCGCCCTCGTGCAGGCTTGCGCCGCTGCGCAGCAGGGAGAGAGCGCGGGCGGCGGTGAGGCTCTCAAGGTGCGCGAGCGGCGTCCAGCCGCGGCTGGCGACCAGCCAGGCGGCGAGGTCGGCGTGGCCGCGGCTGTTTGCAGCCTCCTCGGGCGTGCCAAAGGGCGGCACTGCGGCGCGGGAGGCGCCGTAGGAGGAGAGGAGCTTGGCGACCTCGAGGTGGCCCTCCTGGCACGCGATGAGCAGCGGCGTGGCGCCGTTGTTGCGGGCTTGGCCGACCGCCGCGCTGGCCTCGAGGAGCAGCCGGACGACTTCGACCTTGTCCTCTTGGCACGCCACGAACAGCGGCGTGACGCCGTCCTCCTCGGCTTGGTCCTTCGCCGCGCCAGCCTCGAGGAGCAGCCGTGCGACGTCGAGGTGGCCCTTCTGGCACGCCATGTACAGCGGCGTGGCGCCATCATGCATGGCCTGGTTGATCGCCGCGCCGGCCTCGAGGAGCAGCCGGACGCAATCGAGGTGGCCTTGCTGGCACGCCATGAACAGCGGCGTGGTGCCTTCTTCATCAGCTTGGGCGACCGCCGCGCCAGCCTCGAGAAGCAGCCGGGCGATCTCGAGGTGGCCCATGTCGCACGCGATGAGCAGCGGCGCACGGCCTTCAGAATCTGCTTGGTTCACCGCGGCGCCGGCGGCGATCATCAGCTGAACGCAGTCGATCTCGCCCTCCTGGCTCGCAGCACTCAGCGGTGTGACGCCTTCAGCGTCAGCTTGGTCGATCGCCGCGCCAGCCTCGAGGAGCAGCCGGGCGATCTCGAGGTGGCCCATGTCGCACGCGATGAGCAGCGGCGTGGCGCCATTGTCCGTGGCTTGGCCGACCGCCGCGCCCGCCTCGAGGAGCAGCCGGGCAATCTCGAGGTGGCCCTTCTGGCACGCGATGAACAGCGGCGTGGCGCCGCCGTCCTTGGCTTGGTTGACTGCCGCACTGGCGCCGAGGAGCAGCCGGACGCACTCGAGCTGGCCCTGCTGGCTCGCGATGAACAGCGGCGTGACGCCTTGGGCCTGGGCTTGGTTGATCGCCGCGCTGGCCTCGAGGAGCAGCCGGGCGCACTCGAGGTGGCCCTCCTGGCACGCGATGAACAGAGCGGACGCGCCGCCGCCATTCGTCGCCCAGACGCTCGCGCCGGCCTCGAGCAGCAGCCGCGCCGCCTCGGCCTGCCCGTGACAAGCCGCCCAAGTGAGCAGCGTGTCCTGCGTGTCGGTGTCGAGCCGCGCGTCGAGCGTGCCGCGCGTCCGCCGCCCGGAGAGGAGGGCGCGCAGCGAGCCCAAGTTGCCCACGGCCAGCTCGGCCGGGAGGGTTGGGTGGAGTGCGCCGCTCATGCCGCCAGAAAGAAGAAAACCCACCGCCGCGGAGACACTGTCAGATCACTCTAATTAGTAATTTCCCTTGGCTTTGCTCTCCCGCATCCCTTCGTTTTGCATGTTGGTCCCCCGGATTGGATGGCGTGGTCGTACTCCTATCAGCCACGCGCCCCTCGCCCCCCTCTCACCCCCGCGACCACACCTTGATCTTCTTCGGCAGCACCTGGTCCGACAGGACCTCTCCGTGGCCTAGGCAGGCGTTGTCGCCCTTGCCCCACGTGAAAACGGCGCCGTCGGCGGTGAGGGCGAGGCTGTGCATGCCTCCAGCCGACGCGGCGATCACGCGCTGCCCAGCGAAGGCCTCGATCTTCTTGGGCAGCAGCTGGCGCTGCTCGTCGCCGTGGCCCAACCGGCCAAAGTATCCCCCGCCCCAGCTCCAGACAGCTCCGCCGGCGGTGATGGCGAGGCTGTGAGCGCCTCCAGCCGAGACAGCGACGACGCGCTGGCCAGCAAAGGCCTCGACCTTCTTCGGCAGCAGCTGCTGCTGCTCGTCGCCGTGGCCCAACCTGCCTAAGCCTCCATAGCCCCAGCTCCAGACGGCGCCGTCGGCGGTGATAGCGAAGCTGTGGACCCAGGCAAGGAGGGCGCCGCCGCCGGCGGTGAGGGCGATGCTGTGGGCGCCTCCCGCCCACACAGCGACGACGCGCTGGCCAGCGGTGAGGGCGAGGCTGTGCGCAGTCCCAACCGACACGCTCACGGCACGCTCGTCACCCAGCGTCGAAGGGAGGCGGGTGGGCGTGTTCAGCTGCGTCACGCCCTCACCGTGCCCGAGCAGTCCTGGCGACCAACCCTCCGAGCCGCACGACGAGAGCCGCCCCTCGCCGTCGATGAAGAGGCTGTGCCGTTCGCCTGCCACCCTCGCCGGCGGGTTGGACTCGCGCAGCAGCGCAGCGAAGCACAGCCACCGCGCGGCGCAGCCCTCGCCCTCTGGCAGCGCCGGCAGCTCGAAGCCGCGCTCTTGCGCCCACAAGCGGATGCCCTGCTCCGCGAGCGAGGCGTGAAAGAGCAGCGAGACGGCCGCGACGCGAGCGATGTCGGCGGGGTCGCAGCGAGAGACAACGCGCACGAGGAGGTCCGTGGGGAGGTCGAGGAGGCGGGCGGGCGGCGGCGTGTCTGGCGAGGGAGCGGCGATGGCGGCGGTGGCGAGGCGGCGCGAGCGGCGGCGCGACGGGGTGGACATCGCGAGAAAAAATCTCGGCAAATCCTACATACATACATACTCAGCGCTGAGGGCCTGTTAGTGCCAGTCCAATCCGAGAACATACTTTCGGCTTGCATGGAGCACGTCACGGCTTCAGACAGCCCCTCGCTACTACCGTCGGCGCCACGGGCAGGGCGGAGGCGCTGCTCGTTCTCAGCGCAGCGCTCTTGTATTCACACCCGCACAGCACCCTGAGGTATTTTTATGTTCCCCCACCCGGGTGGGGGAATTTTATATTTAGCAATATGAGCCGCCGTCCCCACTCGAACTCGAGTCCGCCGACCGCTATAGGTCGAGCGGGGAGAGAGGCGCTGCCTCCACGGCGGGGACGGAGGCGACACCTCCGTCCCTGCCGACGCTTCGGCACTACGATTGGAGGCGATGAGGCCTTCTATCTGGACAACATGTGGGAAAGGTCCTGCCGCGAGGCACGCGACGCCTCACGACGCGGCGAGCCAAGAATACAAGTAATGTGCACTCGCCCATCGACCACCTGGACACCGAGAGCACGGTCTGCGACCCGCGGTCAGAGGTCGCACCCGAGCCGCAAGTCCCCAAGGGGCCGGGCCAGATAAGGCGCGTGCCCCAGCTGTTCACAGCAACAGCACGGTCTACCCCCGTCGTCCCACCCCAAGTGCAGCAGAGGCGCGCACCATCAAAAGCAACTCTAACACTCACACGTCATCAAAAGCAGGGTGGGGCGTCCCTCTGGCCCCTCTCTTTTAAAAAAACGCAAAAAGTCTTTTCGCCGGCCCGTCGACCACAAGCATTTTTTTCTCACCAGACGCTGTTCCACGATGGACTCCCGCAAGCGGAAGCCGCCCGACTTCTCCTGCTGGGGCCAGATTCTCGGCGACGCGACCGGCTGTCCGCCTGTAGAGGCGTCGTCCAGAAAGCTCTTCAAGCAGCGCTTCTGTGATTTGTGCCGAAACGGCGGCCTGACGGTTCCCGCGGCTCGCCTTCGCATAGTCGGCAACGGCTCGTCGGCGGTCTCGAACGACAAGTCCGGTGGTGCATGGAACATGAGGCGCGACACGTCGCTCTGGCCCGAGCACCGCGTAATCAACCAAAATGCAGTGCCAACGATGGTGCTACTCCGCAAACGCTCTCTCGAGGAGCTGCCGGGCCTCCTCCCCTACCCGTGTGCGCCGTCCGAGGTGGTGCGACTCCTGGTGGGCGCCCAAACCCTCCGGCCAGCCGCCCTCCCCGCGCTGGCGGCCCCGCCGTCGACGTCACCCCAGCAGCGCGGTGGCGGTGAGGGCGGGGGAGGAGAGGGAGGAGGAGGAGAGGGGGGAGGAGGAGAGGGGGGAGGGGGCGAAGGCGGTGGAGGGGAGGGGGGTGGGCTTGGAGGAGGCGGGCTCGGGGGAGGGGGGGAACCCCTCCCCCCCGCTCTGCCTCACACCTCCACCTCCTCCTCTGCGCTCGGATCGCCGTCGGACGAGTCTGAAGCCGTCGATCCGACGGCGCACGCTCCTTCACCTGACTGTCGGGGTTCTGACTCTCGGGGTTGCACCGGGGCGGCGGCGGCGGAGGTGAGGGTCGCGGCGCCCACGGGGCGCATGGGGCCGGAGGGACCTGGGGGGCCGGCGGGGCCGGCGGGGC